TGCTAAGTTGCTGAGGTTGGCTTTGAACTTGTGATCCTCCTGCCTCTGCCTCCAGAGCCATGGGATAATAGGCATGCACCATCATGCCCAGCTGGAGTGCTTTTTGATCTTGTCTATTTAGGGTTTTGCATGCCTCCTGTGTTTGGATGTTGATATCATTCCCAAGGTTTGGGAAACTTTCTGTTACTGTTTCCCTGAATTAACCCATTCCATTTGCCTACATTTTCAACCCTCTTGGTTACAGTGGTTCTTAAATTCAGTCTCTTAATATTGTCCCAGTGTTCTTATATATTATGGCCATGTTTGTTTATTTTCTTTACTTTAATACTGTCTGTGTTCCAAGTCAGTCACTTTGTCTTCTGTGTGGTCTGCTGTATTAGAGAGACTTTCAACTGAACATTTTATTTGACTTATTGTACCTTTCATTTCAAAGATTTGTTTGCTTTTTCAACGTTTCTATCTCATTGCATTTCTCATTCTTAACCTGTAATAGCATCCTTAATTGAATCAGTTATTTTTAAGTGTTCTGTTGGAATTCATTGATAATTTTTTTTATAATAATTCTTTTGAATTCTTTATCAGGTATTTCCTCCACTTAAATACCTTGGAGTCAGCTGCTGGTGTCATGTTACTTTGTATTTTCATATTTCTTATATTCCTGTGATGGGTTTTGTGCATCTGTCGGAATATGTTTCTCTTCTATGCTTAGGTATAGACCTTTTTGGGATGCAGCCTTCTTTTGGCAAAGTGTTAAGGTATATTGTGTGTGTGTGTGTGTGTGTGTGTGTGTGTGTTGTGAAATTTTCAATGTATTTCCAAGTGGATTTTATAGTATAGTTTCCTTGCTTTTTTTTTTTTTTTGGTAATGATTAGTGTATTTTGATACAGTCTGTATTGTGTCAGAGCTTGAGGATACCACTGTCCTGGTTGGTCTCACAGGAGTGGGATCTTTCTTTTTGATCTGGCAATTGTGTTGTACACAGCAGGCTATGTAAGGCACACGTGTCATGATTGCTCTTCTTCAGTTAACAACTCTGTACATTCTACAAAGGAATGGTAACAGCCTTAATTGAGACTGTTCATAGGTGTGGTTTCCACAGGCTATACTAATTCTGTTTTTGCTGTACGAATAATGTCCATGAGTGGGACCTGAGTGCCCCATGGAGCCATTCTTACTTGGGGCCTGGTCATTGGTTTGGGGGTTTTGTCTAACCTATTCTTTGTATTCAAGTGTCCTTGAAATTTGAGTATGGTTAATTTGTGTGGGGAATAAGGTGCTATCTCTTGGCTGGGTTTTGGGTGAAGTTTAGCAGAAAAGTCTCTACCCTTGAAACTTGTAGTGTCCCAGGAGATTCCCAGCACCTCATAGAAGGGGAAGGGACAAATAATAGCAGCAAATAACTTACAATATTAATATAAATTCCTAGTGCCTCCTATAATAGCTAAACACTAATTATAACAAAACCAGGAATGGTGGGACCAGAAATTGACAGCAGAAACAATAATAGTTTTGAACTAGATCTGGCACTAGAGTGAACAGTAGGGGTCTACTGTGCCATCCTCAACAACATGAATGGCAGGGCAGGACAAAAGGTCAGAATGTTCAAAATTGTGAACCGAGAGAAAGCAGAAGAGATGTAGCAAGTGATGGCTATAAAGACAGAGGAGAAAAAATAAATAGGAGGAACAAAGTAAATAGAAAGAGAAAAAGAGAGAACAAGAGCATTTGGCCAGTAGAGGGATAAGAAAGAAGAGAAAGAAAAGCAATTAACTGAAAAAAATAAATAATACCTCTAACCCTAAAAGACAAAACAGTGAAACAAACAACAACAACAGCAAAACAAATAAAAATGATTAAAAAGGAAACTTATCTAGCTATATAACTCCATAAGCAAGTCAACACAGCAACAACAACAACACACACTCACAATCTTGATCAAACATGAAATGGTTTCTCCACTGAGGTGGTCAGAACTGTGGCAAGGATGGATGCCAGAATTGTCTTTTCTGTTTTTTTCTTGAGCTATGTACCCCTAAGAACCAGGGATGGGGGTTGTTAACCCCTTCCTCTTTTTGAGTTACTCACTAAGCTGCCGGCTGGACAGGCCTGGAGCTGAGGCTGGTATAAGGTAGGACATAATGGGAAGTACTGTCACTTGGAGTGTGGTCTGGACAGACCAGATTGGTGCACTCCCAGGGCGGGGTTGGTGCAGAGTTCTAACTGAAAGGTCCTGTGGCTGGAATTTAGCTTTATTCAGGCCTTTGGATTTGGTGTTATCTTTTCTGCTCTGAGATTAGATCAGCACAGACCTAGGCAGGCAGATGCCAATCTCTACTGGGCATCTAGATCTCAATGGCCTCCAGAGATCTGCACTTGTAGGGCAGGGGAGTCAACCCTCAACAGGCCTCCCACGTTTCAACACCCACAAGTGTGGCCTTCCCAGGCTCAGTCCCCATGTTTACATACACCCACGAGTTCAGACCCTCTTCAGCAGCTGGACTCAAAGGGAAAGTGAGTTATACTCTCCTCCGAGTCTCAGACTTCAATCCCCTGGGTCCAGGCTCTGGGCCTGCTTCACTCACTTTCTGCTAGGTACTCCTGGCCACACGGCTGGCACCTGCCAGCACAGCATGGCAGTGTTTGCTAGGGTTTCCTGGTTCCCCGGCAGCAAGCTGCAGTGTGGCCTCAAGATGGCTCCTACCTCACCTCTCCACTTGCCAATTGAGAAACAGAACACTTTTCAAATAGGAGTGCAGCCTCCAGACCAGCTAAGTTCAGGCTGCTTTTCTGTTCTACAGGTTTTTCTGTGCCCATTTTCTTTTGTTTTCTGTTTATGGTATCCCTCCCCCTGATGTGACTGGCAGGGCTGCCGCTGCTGGCTTGGCTCCAGTGTACTCTTTCATGTCCTTTATTCAATGCGTCTGAATTTCTGGGTCTCTAAGAGTCTCTGTCCAATATTGAATTTCAATGCATTCCCTTTTTCACCCACCTCACTGAGAACTAGTACACCTGCTGCTTGGATTCTGAGCCACAGAGAGACTGGAAAGTCAAACTTCCTCTAATCTAACATCTTGAATCTCTTAAGTTTGGGAGTTTATTGTTAAAATCTTACATTAAAAGATTTTTAAGGATTGATGTATGTCTCTCTTATAGACAGGAGTCTTGAAAAATAATGAGTATTAGCCAGGTGTGGTGGTGTACACCTATAATCTCAGTGATTCAGGAGGTTTGAGGCAGGAGGATTGCAAATTCAAGGCCAGTATTAGCATGTTAGTGAGACCCTGTCTCAAAAAATAAAAAGGTCTGGGATTGCAGTTCAGTGGTAAAGAGTCCCTGGATTCAGGGCTGAGGTTGTAGCTTAGTGGCAGAGCACTTGGTGCTGGGTTCAATCCTCAGCACCACATAAAAAATAAAATAAAGGTCTTGTGTCTTATCTCCTTATATCGCCTGTAGACCTCACAGTTCCTGGTCTCTAAACTGTATCTCACTCACCCTTTCCCTTTCTACTTCCTAACAGGGACCTTTGTTTCCAGAGGTCTTGTGGGTTGTGCTCTGGGGACTGCACACCTGTCTTGTAGAGCTATTTTGTACTGGGAAGTCACTATGCTGGGTTAACAGCTGCTGGGAAGAGCGGGGAATTGGGGATTATAGGTACCTGCCCAGCCGGTGTTCCAAACTGGGAGTTGCCCCAACTAAAGATGACAACAAAGGTGACCCAAGATGGAGACGGCTGCTTTCAGCAATGGGAGTTGGGTTGGGTTGTGGGGGCTAGGCAATGGCATTGGGTGACGTGTTCAGAGATGAGCTCTGTGGCGTGCAGGGTTGTGGCTGTCGGCTGTCTTCAGTTCCTATGCAATGTCTCCAGTGCAGGCAGGCTGCCCTACGTAGGAGACTATGGCAGTGGCCGCAGAATCCCAAGATGGAGGTGATCTGGGGAGTCCCACATTGGTAAATGGGGGTCCACACAGGAGTGGCAGCCAGAGTTCCTGTGTGTGGGTAGCAGCCGAGTGTTCTGCATGGGATCAGCGTCTGGGATTCTTGCTCAGGAGGATGGCCAGGAGTCCTGTGTGGGTGCTGATTCCAGTGGTCCCGCTCAGGCACCCGGGAGCCCTGTGTGGGCGAGTAGTTGGGGTTTCTGCTCTGATGCTTAGAACTGGAACCCTGCTCGGGAGCAGCTGTGGGGGTCCCTCTATCACTCCCAGAGAAGCAGTATTCCCAGGTCATGGAGTGACCAATGCTCCTCCCTCTAGCCTGCAATCTTGGATCCCTGGGATCTGTTTTATTGATACAAATATCTAACACTTTAAAAACCCCATAGTCTGGATACAATGGTGTAAATCATGATTACTATCTTGACATACTGTCAAGGCAACTAAATCTTTTTGGTAGGTTGTTAAGCTCTCTATGTAATAATAATCTTCTGTATTATTCTTGTCATTTTAGATAACATGAGCCATGTCTCTAGTTAAGGGGCAAACTTTATTCATCTGCTATCTCAAGAAGAATTTAAGGTTAAAAGTTTGGGTATAAAACATGTTCAAGACTGGCTATTTTAAAAGGGGTTTCTCAGTTATACTGTATGCATTGCAACTTGGCTTACAAAGAACATTTAAATATATACACACATACCCATGCATACATATATGTATGTATTCTTAATTGGAAAATAAACGTTGATTCTTATAGCCTGTATTAAATTTTTTTTTCTTTTACAATTCCATGTAATGTACCTAAATTCTAAAGATGAAAATGTGAGGATTAGTTTTCTACACAATGAAATTAACCTTAGTGTGTATCAGGTAGCTAGCTAACAGACAGTCTTTGATACAAATCTCTGACAGACTACTTCTAGAGACAAGTTGGTTTTCTTTGATTAGATAAATATATTAGAATTAAAGAGATTATCAACTCAAATCTACTATGCTGACTGGATTTGCTTTGTTCTTATTATTCTCTGTCTTTCAGAGCTTTTAAATATTTCAGGCTTTGTTTCCTTTAGGAACAAGTATCTGGATCCTTATACAGTGGAGTTCCATGATGGGATCTACACACCAATACAACAATAAACTGTCGCCAGGTGACATGACACCACAAGGCCGCAGGATGGAGGGATAACCAAACAGGGGCAAACTGAAACAGAGCCCCTTTAAAACTAAAAGCAACTTTAAACAGAACTTCCTGATAACTGCTTTTTGGCATGTGGAGTTTCCTCCCGCTGAGAGTGGACACGGGAAGCCTCCGCCTAGCCCCAGGTACTAATGAAATGAACTGTGACATGTTTCTGATTAGCACAGCCCAACTGAATCTGCACATGTACATTTCCGGCCCTTTGACCCACCATCCACCTGTCCTCTGATGAAAGCTGTCTGTACACCTCAGCTGCTGCAAGATGGATCTTGGAGAAAGAATGGCCTCCTCTATCTTCCTCAAGGCTGGTTTTGAATAAAGCTGTTTTCCTTCACAGCCTTTGTTTCCCAAATTTTTGTAGAGCCAAGTAGTGGTAACTTCACTCCCAGTAACAAGATGAGCCTGTCCAGAAATGCATACCTTAAACCAAGCATGCTCAGGAACACGCCTGCCCCTAAAGTGAGTCTCTACAGGCTCCCGGAATGGAACCCCCTGCTTCTGTTCTCCAGGGAGGGCACTGCTTTGCTGAGAACTCTGGTGCTTCCTACTCATGGTGGTCATAAGTCCTTCTCCATGCTCTTGTCTTCTGCTCATGCTCTTTGGCTTTGTACTCACAAGGAGCAAATCCATAACCTTTGGATACAATTGGTTTTACGTGGATTTAGAGGAAACAGGCAGAGTGCATGGCAGATGATGTACATGACCTGCACAGTTTTGCTTATTACTTCCAAAGCATTATGGGAACATTGTAGAGAAATCAGTGTTTCCTTCTATAGCTCATACCCACAGCGATGGTCTCCTAGCTTATCTACCCTGAAGAATACTTACTAAAGTTGAAAAAATGTCATTACCCAGTTACTGAAAAAAGTAGAGGAACTAGGTATGTGGCTGTGCTCTTTGACCTCCGTGTTCACTCTTCTACCCTTTGTATAGCACAGGTCTTGTGGCAGGTGGTCTTTGGGAGCCAGAAAGACTCCACAGCAGAGCAGAGCAAAGTGTGCATGTCTGAGTGCTGCTTCTGACCATACTGCCTTCCATAGGCTAATTGTTTCCAGAGATTTAGTCTTGCTTAGAGCAATAATAAATGTTTATGCTTAAAGAAAAAGATTCCTTATTGTGAGAAAATTTAAGGTCCAGAGTTTAGAGACCACTGCTCATTCCTACACTCTGCAGTACTCTTAAGAGCTCAGTTTTGAAGACATCAGGCTTCTCCTCTTCAGCAGATGATATATGCACTGGAGATTCATGTGCAATAACACCCACAAGCAAATCAGGACCTCTGTCTCCTGAACTGTCATGGGAAGAGGAGAACTAGATTATATTTGTTTCCTTCCAGCTGTAATTCTCGATGACTGTGACTTCAAGTATCCTCATGTCTTTGAAATTTAAGAGCAAATTAAGTGACATGGTGGCTTCACTGTACTGTGTGCCTTGGGCAAATTACCTAAGCTCTTCATGCCAGTTTCCTCCTCTAAAACAGTGGCAATGCTACAACATCCCTCACGTGGAAGTTACGTGGATTAATTGAATTAGTACACAGAAAGTATATACAAGAGTAAATGGAAATAGTAAGCACTTAGTGTATGATAGGTACCACTGTAACCATAATAATTATCACTATGATAATTGACTCCATCTGGGTTCTGGCTCCTAGCTGCAGTGTGGTCTTAGGAGCATCAGTCAACTGCTCTAATACTGCCTTTGACTTGAGCAAGAGTGGTCCCTGCTCAGGAGCCCATGCTTTGCAAGTCCCTGCTCTGGTCCTCTGGCTGGGCCCTTTCCTACAGTGTGGGAGGTTCATGGAAAGCTGTCTTCTGTGGCCTGGGCTCTCCCTTGTAGATCGTGATGTTCAACCTGTCCCAGGTTTGTCTCAGAGTCTGTCTTGGCCTCTTCTCTGGTCTTCTGTGGACAGGCTGTGCCCCAGTGCATGCACCTCCGGGCCTCAGTGCCCATTTCAGGATCTGGAGAGAGCTTGGCCCTCTACACTGGTACACTGGGGTGTTTATATATGTAGAGGGCCCTTGGGTGAAGTGAAACTGGGTGGGCTGCAGCCTGGCAATCAGCTCACCCTGTGCTACTGTTTGGACTGGGGATTCCTAAATTGGAGCCCTTCCTCCAGGTCATTATGAAGGTCTAGCTGTCAATGTTGAAGACATTACTGCTCCATTCTTTGCAAATACCAGACTTAAGCTTATTTTTTACTTTCAGGTACCTCATCTGTAAGGTGTGAAGGATCATAGCTGCTTCACGCAATCTTGGTGAGGATTAAATATAACAATATGTAAAACGGTATTAGGACAATATGTTCAAGAAATTCCTATCCTCTTCTCTGGATTACCTAGACAGTAGTGACTGCTTGACTCAACTATTAACCAATTCTACTACACATGGAACTCGAACAAATTGATTATATAATAGACTGTAAAGCAAGCGTCATTACTATTCATACAGATCAAAGCTTTCTGTATTTGTTATAAGTTAATAATAAGAAGAGTTATTTAAATTCTCACCATACTTAATAATTTAAAAATATTTAAATGACTCAATTTTTAAAAGCACAAAGATATCACTACAAAAATGATATGTAAAGTAATATACATTGTTTAGTGTGATTTAACCATTTCACAATGTGCATGTGTTTCCAAACAACATGTTATAAATGAGAAACACATATAATTTTTCTAAAATAAAATAAATCACTTTTAAAATCACAAAGAAGAATTGAAAGTATTATAATTGATTAATCATAAAAATAGTTGGTATCAAAAATTTGGTGTGCAGCAAAAGAACAAAGAGAATTTTATAAGTCTTAACTTTTATTAGAAAAACAAAAAAAGGCTAAAAATTAAGTACTCTAAGAGAGACAAATGATAGAATAAACATAAAGAAGTCAAAAGAATAAAGAGCAAAGTTAACAAATACAAACAAGATACAAGAGAGGATCAACAAAGATAAAAACATAGCTAAACCTCTGCTAGACTGAATAAGAAAAAAAGAGTAAATATACAAAATTTATGGTACAAAATATATATCCAACGATATAGTAGGTAGTTTTTTATGTATATTTTTAGCTATAGATGAACACAATATCTTTATTTTATTTATTTACTTTTTTACGTGATGCTAAGGATAGAACACAGGGCCTCACACATGCAAGGCAGGCACTCAACCAGAGTACAATCCCAGCTCATAGTAGGTAATTTTTAATTAAACAACATTAACAATTTAATAAAAATATATTTGGAAATAGCTAAAATAAATAAATCTTCCAAAAAGATTTTACTTATTGGAAGAAATAGAAAGCCTGAAGAATCTCATAACCATTAAATATTTAGAATCTGGAGCTCAAACTCTTCCCACAAAGAAAACAATAGCTTCAGATGACTGTGCAGTATTCAAAACAAAACAGATTCTTCCAGGTAAATTTAACATTTTCTAGAGAAAGAACAGAAAGGATACTCTACAAATATTCTGAGCCAAAAAATATTCTTGATTCAGACTAGATACTCAGCAACAAAGAAAAATTATAGTGTAATCTTACTTATTAATATATGTATAAAAATCTTAAATGTAAAATAACCCAAGCTCAGTTTAGATTTGTTTCTCAAATATAACAGTGGAAATACCATTGAAAAAGTCTCTGACCGTAAATAACTGTATTAACAGATTAGAAGAGAAAAAACATAATTACCTCAATATTGAAAAAAAAATTCATGATTTCTAAAAAGGAAAGGAACATTTAGCGATCCAGAAGAGGGATTTTCCTTAACCAAGAAAGGGTTCCTCCCAAACACTGAAGCAAACATCACCCTTAACAGGGTCTGTTCGAATCTCTACACTCAGGAGTGATTCGGTGGGCTGACCCACCATGGCAGCCAGGAAAACCCACCAGTCGGATCTCCTGCACTGGAGCAGAGTGACCCACAGCCCCAGGAGCTAGCCTCTGGGTCTACCACCATTTTCCAGGGGAAGCTGCACATCCCCCAGGCTGCTCCTGGCCAGTGATAGGGACACTTGTGATACTAGTGCAGCCCCCTGCTCCCTGTGGGTGAGGAACTCCTCCAATGGACAGCTTTAACTCCAGGATTTCCCATCTGCCTGGTCAAAACTGTCTCAGACTCTACAACAGTCTGCAGGGCTTCCGAAGCCCCTCCTTCCCTCCCTCTCCTCCCATGCCAGGTGTCATGCTGGCACGCCATTCTGAGAGTGGCTCCTGCTTCATGGCTTCTGCCCTTCACAGGCATTTCTCCCTGCACATTTCTCGAGTGCCTACTCATCCTCGTTCTGTTTCTTGGAAAGCCTGACTAGCACACCGTGTTGGTCAGCTGTGACAAAATACTTGAGAAACAACTTAGAGGGGGAAGAGTTATTTTGGCTCATGGTTCAGAGGCTGCTGCCCAGGGTCATCCAGTTCCATTGCCTTGGGCCTGAGAGAAGGCAGAGCATCAGGCATAGCAAAGCTTCCCACCTCATGGAGACTGGGAAGGAGAGAGGCAGAGACAGAGAGACAGAGAGTGAGCACAAGGAAGGGGCCAGGGACCTGGTATACCCTTCCATGGCATCCCCCAGAAGCCACTTTCCTCCAACAAAGTCCCACCTCCTACAGTTTCTACCACCTCCCCAAAATGCCATCCAATTATGAGTTCATCAGTGGATTAATCTACTGCATCCAATTATGAGTCTCTCAACAGATGAATCAGAAATCTTATTGTGCAATCATTTCCCCAAACCCCCAACTCTAAGCAGCATTGCCCTGGGGACCAAACCACAGCATGCCTTAAGTGTAACTGCTCCCCCCCAACACTGCATTGGGTTCCAGACATCTGCCAGCGCATCACCCATCAATCTCTGATCCCCGACCCTGAGTTCTAGATGCACCAGCACAGTTGGCTTTCCTTGAATTCACTGGGTGCATCCCCCCCTCCCCTGAATCTTTATTTGGGCTATTGTTACCTTCACATTCCCCAGTCTCCATCTAAGTTTAGGCCATCCTGTGAGACCCAGTTTAGGATTAATGTACTCGGGAAATTCTTCTAAATATCCAAACTGGGGCAACACTCCCTCTACCAAAATTCTGCAGCAGCCTGTGGGATTATAGTAATGACCACAACTTGTCACATAGTCCTTATTCATTTATATGATTCTACTACCAGATACCATTCCTGAAGAATGGTCACAGCTAGATAATGAACTCCTGAAACCTGCTCACATCATGTGCTTAATAAATGTTAGAATTAAAAAAAAATAAAAAATAAATGTTAGAATTAACTCCAGTTCAAAACCTAATGCACCCTTCATGCCCTGAAAATAAAACTTGCTAACATCTTCTCTCATCC